CACCCAAATTCCATCAATCCCTGAGGGTTCATCCATCAATCCCTGAGCCAGGCACCCAAAAATTCCATCAATCCCTGAGCTGGGCACCCAAATTCCATCAATCCCTGAGGGTTCATCCATCAATCCCTGAGGGGGGCACCCAAATTCCATCAATCCCTGAGGGTTCATCCGTCGATCCCTGAGCCGGGCACCCAAAAATTCCACCAATCCCCGAGGGTTCATCCATCAACCCTCAAGCCGAGCGCCCAAAAATTCCATCGATCCCCCTCTCCGTGCCCCCCAAACCCCCCTCCGGCCCCGTGCCCGGTCACTCCCTGTCCCCCCTGTCCCCCGTGTCCCCTCGGTGGGTCCGCAGGTGTTTGCCCAGGGAGGACCTGGAGGCGAATTGCCGGGGGCAGCGGGGGCAGCCGAAGGGTCTCTCCCCGGTGTGGCTCCGCCGGTGGATGACGAGGGAGGAGCTGGCTCGGAAGCTCTTCCCGCACTCGGGGCAGCCGAAGGGTTTCTCCCCGGTGTGGACGCGCCGGTGCCGCCGCAGGGAAGCCCCGTCCCGGAATCCCTTCCCGCAGTCCCCGCAAATTTGGGGACGGGAACCCCCCCCGCGGCGTTTTGGGGGGACCTGGAGACCCCCCCGGGGACCCCCCCGGGTCGCCCCGCCTTGGCCGTGGTGGTCCCGCCGGTGCAGCTCCAGCGCCGAGCGGGTGGGGAAGCCCAGCCCGCACTGGGAGCACTGGGGGGGAACTGGGGAGGGGGGTTTGGGGCGGGGACTGGGGGAGTTGGGGCAGGAATTGGGGCAGGAATTGGGGTGGTGGGGGCAGGAATTGGGGCTGGAATTGGGGTGGCGGGGGCAGGAATTGGGGTGGTGGGGGCAGGAATTGGGGTGGTGGGGGCAGGAATTGGGGCTGGAATCGGGGTTGGGGGAGTCGGGGCAGGACTTGGAGCAGGGTTTAGGGCAGGGATTGGGGCCGGCACTGGGGCAGGGGTTAGGGCAGGACTGGGAACAGGGACTGGGAGAGCTGGGGTTGGATTTAAGGCTGGGATTGAGGGCGGGTTTAGGGTGGGGGTTGAGTTTGGGGCTAGGGTTGGATTTGGGGCTGGGGTTGGTTTTAGGGCTGGGATCAGGTTTGGGTTTAGGGCTGGGATTGGATTTATGGCTGGGGTTGGATTTAGGGCTGGGGTTGGGGTTGGATTTAGGGCTGGGGTGGGATTTAGGGCTGGGGTTGGGTTTAGGGCTGGGGTCAGATTTATGGTTGGGGTTGGGTTTATGGCTGGGATCGGGGTTGGTTTTAGGGCTGGGGTTTGATTTAGGGCTGGGATCGGGGTCGGATTTAGGGCTGGCCCCGGGGTCAGGTTTGGGGCTGCCATCAGGTTCAGGGCATCGCTCCGGGCTCCCTCCCCTCCTCCCCCTCCCCCCCAACCCCTCCCCTCCCTGCCCTCCCCCTCCCTTCAGGTGGCCCTTGCGGTGCTTGGCCAGCGACTTGGTGGCCATGAAGCCCCTCCCGCAGTCGGGGCAGGCGAAGGGCCTCTCCCCGGTGTGGATCCGCCGGTGCGTGACCAGCGCGGGCCCCGACGAGAGGCTCTTCCCGCACTCCCCGCACACGAAGCCGCCGCCGTGGCGGCTCTTGCGGTGCTTGCTCAGCGACTTGGAGCCCATGAAGCCCCGGCCGCAGTCGGGGCAGGGGTAGGGCCGCTCCCCGGTGTGGATCCGCCGGTGGGTCTCGAGGCTGGAGCGGCTCGAGAGGCGCTTCCCGCACTCCCCGCACCCGAAGCCGGGGTCGCCCCCGTCCCCGTCGCGCTCCCGGTGCCGCCGCCGGTGCTCGCGGAGCGCCCGGGGGGAGGCGAAGCGTTTGGGGCACGAGCGGCACTTGTGGGGCCGCCGGCGGCAGGGGGGGCCCCCCAGGTGGTCCCGCAGGGCCCCCCCGCACCAGAAGGGGCTGCGGCAGCGGTAGCAGGAGAAGGGGGCGGCCCCGGGGGGCCCCGCGCGGTGCCCCTGGAGGTGCCGCCGCAGCGAAGAGTCGCTCGAGAAGGTTTTGCCGCAGAGCTCGCAGGGGGGGGGGGCCCGGGGGGGCCGGGGGGGG